GAAGAATGCGGAGCAGAATGGACCAGAGTCGCTTCTGGGCCGCACAATGCATGGAGGACCTCCCAGCAAACTTTGAGAAATCGCCTCTCTTCTCCGCAGCTCCAGAACGCCACCGCCCTGCCCACCCGATGGCTGGCACTGAAAGCTGCTTACATAATCTGCTCCCTGCTGAAAGCTGCTTCCATTCACAAGTCTCTGCTTCTCACTGTGTAGGTGCAGTAAAGAGGGGAAAAGGAAAGGAAGGAAGGAAAAAAGAACAGAATAAGAAGACAGCTGAATGAACTCTCTCTGAAGATGATAACGAGAAATGAGAAGAGATTCTTTTTTCCCCACTCTCTAAATAAATCTTTCTCAAAGGAAACATCATTCCCATGCTGTCAGAGGAGTCTCTTCTTGTTGATTAATTGCAGGGGGGCGGGCATCCCCCCCAGCTGTCTCAGACATGTTATCTTGCTCACTTGCTGGATTACGGAGCCAGAGTCTGCCAGAGCTCCATTACAATTCGATTTAAGCGTGCATTATATCATTAAAACTAATGACAGCAAGACAATTACTTCGAGGAAACCGAAGTGACACTGCACGAAGCAGCCTGGTGCCTCACCACCGCTGCCTCCTCCACTTCCCTGACCCAGGCAGGGTGCAGAGTTGGGCTAAGACAAACCAGCTGGGTTCCCTCAAACACTCAAACCCTGGCCAGGCTGGAGGGCTGATTTTTGCCACTGGGCCGCTGTGCCGTCTGACAGCCTGAATGAGGACCCCTGGGAGTTCTCTGAGCTCAGGAATAGGGACCACCTACTCAGCCCAGGGGGACACTCAGTGGGATTCAGGAGGCAGGAAAGAGGAAGCTGTGGGTGCAGGAGGCAAAGGAGCCTGCTTCTGGTCCTGCTCAGCCCCTTGGGGACTGATGGGAGGATCTTGCCAAAAGGTTGAGGGCTCCCAGCACACAGAGAGCCTTCATAGGTAACACCCGTGAAAGCATTTCTCGGTGTTTAAAATGCCGTTCCTTAGAGCGGTGGGGGCTTGTGCACTCAGTTTTGAGTCCAAGAGTTCACCTTCTAGCAAGTTCTCAGGTGACTCTGAGAACCACCTGATTCAGGCTTATCACACCCCCGGAGCAGCAGAAGCTTGTCCCCTCCTCCTGCACCCCACAATTCACCTCTGTTAGCCTTCCTCTGCCATTTGTATCCTGTTCCACCTGGACATCCGGGAAATGCAAACGGCACTCCTGTCCCACAAACCCATCCTGCCTCACTGATAAGACAGGCTCTCATAGTCACTAAGTGTCAATGACTAAGGCGGGATGCATGAAACCACTCAGAAGCATCGGGCCTTCTGCCAAGAGCAAAGCCAAGCAAAGAATGAAACTTTCATAATGCAGTGTCAGTTATTGGTGCACCGAGTGCTGCAGATTGAGGCAGGAAGCCCTCTTTGCACCCCCAATCTCATTTTGTAGGTGCCATTTATGTTATTTAAGACTCTGAAGAGATGGTGTCTATCACTATTTCATTCCCAATGCCCACCAGGCGTACTGTAGGTGATTAACAAATGTGTGCTAGGTGAATAAACAGTAAGTGCTCTGGCAGGAGGACAGGGAGGCCCTGTCCTTTGCCTGCAGCAGATCCAAGATGAGAGCCAAGTCCTTTCAACCCCCTCACCAATGACTCATCGTAATCAACAAACACTAACTGAGCACCTACTGCATCAGGCTGGACTATGCGCTAAAGACTTTCCCCCAGGGCTAAAGACATTCCACTAGTCAATCAATTGAGGTTTCATTCATTCATTCATTCATTCAGCAAGTCATTGCTGAGCACATGCTGTGTGCTGACCACAATCCCCAAAAGGGAGGCAGCACCACCTGGGCCCTTAGGGATGTCATTGGCAGCATCTCAGGACCCTGAAGAGGGACCAGCATGTCAGGGAAAGCATTTCCAGGAGAGGGGAGGGAAAGCACGGGTTCCCCAGAGAAAGTCTATGCTGCTCAGAGCATGCGAGGGATGAGTCAGCAAAAGTCTCACCGGGATTTGGAGGAGCAGAGGCTGGGCAGGGAGCAAGGCCCCTCCTTGCCACCCTCCTCGGGTCTCCCCCACACTCAGGCTGCCTTGCCACTGGCTGGAAGCTTCCTGAGCCTAGGGCAAGGGGGCAGCGCTGTGCCTATTCCACAGACAAAGAAACTGAGGTCCAGGATCTTCGGCAACCACATGAGAGCACAGCAGGTCATAGTGGGACAGGAAGTCCAGGGTGAATTCACTGTTACTGTCACCAATATTGTCCCCATCACTAACACTTGCTGGTCCCTGACTGGACTGAGTACTCTGTAGCCATTTACCTCTTATAATCTGCACACCTCCATTATGATCCTCATCTTGAAAATGGGAAAATCGAGGTCCAGAGGGAGAAGTGATACAGCTAGAAGGTGCCAGAACCAGGGTCTCAGCTCAGGAGATCTAGATCCAGAGCTTGCATTCTTAGCCATCATACTGCACTACTTTTATATACCTAATGGAAGGACCCAAGGCTCAGAGAGGTTAAGGAGTTTGCCTAAAGTCACACAGCAAGGAAGCAGTTGGAACTGGAACTCAAGTCTGGCTGCACCTCACACTGCAGCCTCTGGTGGCTCAAAAGGGCTGAGAAACAGGAAGCAAGGGGCTAATTCTGCATATTTCCTCTACTCTCTCAGCACATCAAGGCTTCCATCCTTGGTGGCAGTTGAATAATTTAAACTCCTCAGCTCCAGCCCACCACTACTGGGTCCCAGGTTTATTTTTATCCCAGGTTACAGCCACAGCTCTTAGCAGAAATAAACCATGCCATTTGCTTCCCATCGCCTTCACATCAACTTCTGTCTTGTCTGCATTTATGGCCAGCAACCCCCCCCCCGCCCCCATTGGGGAGTCAGAGCAGAAGCCAGGTCCATGTGTCATGGTGGTTTTGAAATGAAAATCACAAGCACTCCATGGCCCGCACAGAGAGAGGGACAGCGTGAGTAAAGAGGAAGATCATATCCTGTGAGTGCCACAGTCTCCAAGCATATCCCCAGAGCAGTACTCTTCCCCAGCAAGGCAGAAGGGAAGCAGAAGGGCCAGAGCTGGCCAGGGTCCCTGGCTGCCTCTGCCTCCCTCCTGCCTGCCAGACGGACTGTCCACATTCACCTCCAAGGCGCGGGCTCCGGAACTGGGATGGCAGGGTCCTTCCTGGGCACCTGGGGCTGGGGCAGGAAAAGGAGCGAAACGTCTCCCTGGTGGTGGGTTTGGATGTTGCATACTGTAGGTCCTTGGGCAGGTTGCTTTCCCTCTCTGGGCCCCCCTGAAAAGGGTTAGAAGAGCACAATGCTAGCCCTTCCTAGAAGTGTGGGCATGCACATACTCACATACCACAGAGTCCCAGCCCCTCAGAGTTGGAAGGGGCCTTGGGGTCACTTAAATCAACTGCCTCATTGCATAGATGGAGAAACTGAGGGCCAGAAAGGTGAGAGAGAGCTTGGTCTCAGCTCTTTTGATCTGAGTCCAGGGCTCTTTCCAGAAGCTTCTGTGCCCCTCTCCCTGGTGCACCACAATGCACCACTTCAAATGTGATGTGGAGGAGGAAGCATGGCCTCCTGGCTCACAGCCACCCCTGGGGCGTGCACAGGAAGCCCTGGTGTCTGGACACCCTGGTCCTGTCCCTGGGCTGGGCTGGCGTGCATTGTGACATTCCATCCTGGATGGCAGTGCTGCCCTGGGGCCCCTGCGGTTTCCTTAATAACCTCCTCAAGATCCTCCCCCCCAAGCTCCCCATAATCCAGCAATCCATACAGCAGGGGGCCCCTAAGATCCTCCACTCCAGGGTCCCAACCACGGTCCATTCTGATCAATCTGGGCCAAAGCCCAATATTTTAAATATTCCCCATGGCCAGATCCTTAGCTTCTTATTTGAACCAAATTTCTTCACATTCATCATTCATGCCTGAGGCTCTCCAGAGAGGAAACTAAGGCAGCTTCTCTCTCAAGGTCATTGAACAATGGAAACCAGGGATGAGAAAGCGGAGAATTTTGAGGACCAAGCCTTTGGCATTGACCACCAGGCCACCCTCCCCGCTCCAGCTCCTGCATCCTGCCTGAGCAGGCTCATTCTCTGGCTGGAGATAACGTCTGAGTGGAGCCCGCTTACACTTCAGGCTTGCCAGTCTCTGGGCCTGGTGTTTCATTCCTCTCACTTACAAGAGCAAGTACCTCAAGAAGAAATCCTTGAGGGTGGGGAGCACAGGAGGCTGAAGTGGCCCCTGAGATAATAGCAAAGATGCTAAAAATAAGGGCATTCACTTCCAGAAAGGTAAATAAAATTAAAGCAGAAAGCAAAGAGAAATCTGCTTTTGATGGGTCACAGATTAGCAGCAAAAGCATTTTAAAATTAAATGTGAGCTTTTGGATTCAGTTATGAGACCTCTGCTTCCCACTCACAGGTTGGTGCAGGCTTACCCTTTCCCAGTTTCAGAAAAAGAAAGTACTGCAGGGTTATCATGGTGTGGAGCTGGCAGCTGGAGCCCTTCCCCAGGATCTGAACCAGCGCCGTTCCCCTCTGTCCCTACTGTGACTCAGGCTCAAGAATGGAGTGTCCCCGGTGCCTGCCTCGAAAGCGCAAGGTCCCGAGTTCGATCCCTGGTACCAAAAAAAAAAGAATGGAGTGTCCTGAGCTGGTGCCAGGGCGCAGCCCCCCCCCAGCAACCACTTACAGGTTACACCACCTGTGAAAACAAAACATCATCTGCTCCACAGGCAGCTGGCTGCTCCCTTCTGACCTTCTTGACCATTCATTCCAAGCAAAAAGGAGCCCTTTAATCTGCCCCCAGGTCCCCCATCTTAAGAACAGCTTGCAAAATCCACCACAATTAAATTCCTCAGCTGTCCCTGAAAGAGTACAAGCTAAGCCTGCCCTGGCAAGTGTCCACCACCAGTGTGGCCAGCAAGGGTTAATATTCCAGACCCAGGTGACCCCCTCCCAGCCAGGGCCAGTATACTCACCCACTAAAACCACACACCCAGAGACCTTCCGTGCCAGGCTGACCACCCCAGGAAGGGTTAAATCACTCAGAGAACTGCCAGCTACTTTCAACAGCTTTTGCTGCAAGGGAGACAAATTGGGCAGAAGCCACTATCTTGATCACATTGCCCAAAATATGAGCACATTTACACCCCCCACCCCCCAGCACTGAGCCGAAATCTCATTTGGCTTTGGGGTGCCGCTGTGGCCATAAAACACTGCAGAATGTGGGCAAATAAACGTGGTCATTCTCCAGCACCCCTCCCCTCCCAGCTACCGTTTACCCCACCAGCTCATACACACCCCTCACCCCTGAGATTCCCATGCTCCCAGCCCCTTTGCATACCCAAGAACAATATCTCTTACCGCGACACCAGAGGGTTGCAGGGACCACGGGGAGCCGGATTCTGGCCAACTCCTTCCTTCCCTACCCGGTGGGAAGATACTACTCCCGAGGGATGACTTGGTTTGAAAGCTCAGCAGAGGTGCCTGGAAGAAAATTGTTCATTTGATTCTCCTACTCTTCCCAAAATAAAATAAAAACACCAACACACACACACGCACACGCACACACGCACACACCCTAAATCAAGCAGGACCAAGACAGAAAGAAATACCGCTGTCAGAAGAGGAGAAAACTCAGGTCAGCAGAGTCCGTGGAGAGCAGACAGGGGAGTCATTCAGACTGTCCGCCAGCTGGGTGAAGGTATTTGATGAGCCTCTCTCTCTCTCTCTCTCTCTCTCTCTCTCT